CAATTTGTGAAGAATTGGAGAGAGAAATGTTACAAGTAAACAAGAACAAGCCTGGCAGAGACCCGGTTAAGATAACTGGTACTCCAAGAAGACCTGCAAAGACTCGGATGAATTAACAAGCCTAGTCAGCAATGGCTAGAAATAAGACAACCTTTAAATCTGTACAGGAATGAAAAGCAGCAAATTCAAGCCTGAAGTATAATAGAACTAGTTAATAGAACTAGTCACAGTAGAACTGTATGGCTACAGACATGCACCTCATGTTTAGAGAAGGAAAAGTGTTTCCACAGTGAGAAACAACCTTGATGCATATGAAACTGGAAAATAAAGAAAATCTAAAGCACCCAGAGACAAATCTGACTTTAGTTATTACTATTCCAACATGACAATGACCTTAAACATTTCTCTGCAGCTGGAAAAAAACAACCTCCACATCATAACTCAATAATTGGCTAATTGAAAGTTCAGTATAAATACCATTGATAATTTTTGGAGTACGTTAAAGATAAAGGTCAATATCATATAAACATTGAATCTGAAAGGGAAATATTTTCAAAGAAGAAGTGGCAGGAAAACTACAACTAACTCTGGTAAATTTGTTTTATTGTAGAATAAATCTGTGCTTGAGCCCAAAGTAAAATAATATAAGCTTTGAAATTAAGGATTTTAATAACTTACTGGCTTTGCTTAACATAGCAAATAACCTGGAAAATTATTTCTATTTTCTTTTTTTCAGTTTTGGTTTGCAAGATCTGTATAGAAGAGGTTTCAAGGAGCAATTTATTCAAATCAAATCAACAAATTAGCTAAAATAAGCTGTAAAGAGAGCTGGTTTCATTTCATGTCCTTGGTGTTAACCAGTGTTGATATTTGGAGCACATATGAATGTAAATTGGCCCCTTCAGAGTCTGTCAATGAGTGACATAATGACCTGATGTTTGATGCAGGTTAAATATGGGAAGAAAATGAAACCATATTTTCAGCTGTAACAGATTTAAAAGGATGCTTTGTGATCAGTTTATGATCTGCATTTAACAGCAGCTGCAGGAATTTGCTTGAAGAGAACTGGGAGACATTTTGAAAGTGAAACGATGCTAAAAGCAACTCAGAGCAGGAAGATTTAAAGTAAAGTATTTTTAAAAATGAACTTTTGCTTGCACAAAAATCTCTACATCTTATATTTGCATATGTCTGTTTTGACTTCTTTCTTAAATAAAATACATGCACACCAATGCAGAAGCTGTTTGAAAATCCCTCTCTGTGTGAACTCAGTCTCTCTTTTACGAACCTACATTTTTTAACCTACCGGTAACATAATAGCTGCATGAATCATGACACCAGACAAGATAGAGGAGAGCAGGAGGCGGGGTTACCAATCTACTCGCTCTGGAGAGCAGAGTTCTCTACTTTTATATATAGTTCCGAAAGTCTCCACTAGCACAAAAAAGTCGCTAGATTTGGCGCTAGGCGCCTTTTTTAAATCAAAGTGCTAGAGGGGTCTAAAAAGTCGCTAAATATAGCGACTAAAGCGCTAAGTTAGCAACACTGCTCTTCTCATTATTTTTTTTCAAATGGTTTGCTGCTGTTTGTTTGGACCTTTCTCCACATGCACAGTAATTCGGCTTTTATCAGAAACATAACTAATGTGCACAAATAAGGAATAGCTGTATTAACCATACATGTAAACAGAGTTTTATGGGGCCCTCAGGAACTAGGGGCCCCAGGAAACTGCCTAGTAGGAGGAGGAACATCCAACTGGTAAAAAGTCCTTTACTTGTCTCACTGAAATGTGGCACACTGCAAAAACAATCTAGAAATAAGTAAGAATTTCTTAAATTAAGTGCATTTATCCTTACTTTAAGTAGGTAAATTAGATAGTTTGCCAATGGAATGAGTATTTTTACTCTTAAAATAAGACAATTAGATAATATGCACTTGAAAATGTAAATTGTCTTG